GGCCATGAGACTTAACCTGAGTGCAAAAATGGAGGCTCTAGACCCTTCCAGAGCTGAGATATCGAAACTCAAAATTTCGACCAGAAAAAAAAACGACAGTGTTACCCTTACGTTTTTTTTTTTTGGGCGAAAAATTAAGTTTCCCCAATCTTCTCAAAACTCTGGATTCTGATAGAGGGCCATGAGACTTAGACCTGAGTGCAAAAATGGAGGCTCTAGACCCTTCCAGAGCTGAGATATCGAAACTCAAATTTCGACCCGAAAAAAAAACGACAGTATTACCCCGTAAGTTTTTTTTTGGGCGAAAAATTAAGTTTCCCCAATCTTCTCAAAACTCTGGATTCTGATAGAGGGCCATAAGACTTAGACCTGAGTGCAACAATGGAGGCTCTAGACCCTTCCAGAGCTGAGATATACTGTAGAAATTCAAAACTTCAACCAGAAAAAAAACGACAGTGTTACCCCTTACGTTTTTTTTTTTGGGGCGAAAAATTAAGTTTCCCCAATCTTCTCAAAACTCTGGATTCTGATAGAGGGCCATGAGACTTAGACCTGAGTGCAAAATGGAGGCTCTAGACCCTTCCAGAGCTGAGATATCGAAATCAAAAATTTCGACCAGAAAAAAAAAACGACAGTGTTACCCCTTACGTTTTTTTGGGGGGCGAAAAATTAAGTTTCCCCAATCTTCTCAAAACTCTGGATTCTGATAGAGGGCCATGAGACTTAGACCTGAGTGCAAAATGGAGGCTTTAGACCCTCCAGAGCTGAGATATCGAAACTCAAAATTTCGACCAGAAAAAAAAACGACAGTGTTACCCCTTACGTTTTTTTTTTGGGGGCGAAAAATTAAGTTTCCCAATCTTCTCAAAACTCTGGATTCTGATAGAGGGCCATGAGACTTAGACCTGAGTGCAAAAATGGAGGCTTTAGACCCTTCCAGAGCTGAGATATCGAAACTCAAAATTCGACCAGAAAAAAACGACAGTGTTACCCTTACGTTTTTTTTTTTTTGGGGCGAAAAATTAAGTTTCCCCAATCTTCTCAAAACTCTGGATTCTGATAGAGGGCCATGAGACTTAGACCTGAGTGCAAACAATGGAGGCTCTAGACCCTTCCAGAGCTGAGATATCGAAACTCAAAATTTCGACCAGAAAAAAAAACGACAGTGTTACCTTACGTTTGTTTTTTTTTTTTGGGCGAAAAATTAAGTTTCCCCAATCTTCTCAAAACTCTGGATTCTGATAGAGGGCCATGAGACTTAGACCTGAGTGCAAAAATGGAGGCTTAGACCCTTCCAGAGCTGAGATATCGAAACTCAAAAATTCGACCAGAAAAAAAAAACGACAGTGTTACCCCTTACGTTTTTTTTTTTTGGGCGAAAAATTAAGTTTCCCCAATCTTCTCAAAACTCTGGATTCTGATAGAGGGCCATGAGACTTAGACCTGAGTGCAAAAATGGAGGCTCTAGACCCTTCCAGAGCTGAGATATCGAAACTCAAAATTTCGACCAGAAAAAAAAAACGACAGTGGTTACCCCTTACGTTTTTTTTTTTTGGGCGAAAAATTAAGTTTCCCCAATCTTCTCAAAACTCTGGATTCTGATAGAGGCCATGAGACTTAACCTGAGTGCAAAAATGGAGGCTCTAGACCCTTCCAGAGCTGAGATATCGAAACTCAAAATTTCGACCAGAAAAAAAAACGACAGTGGTACCCCTTACGTTTTTTTTTTTTGGGCGAAAAATTAAGTTTCCCCAATCTTCTCAAAACTCTGGATTCTGATAGAGGGCCATGAGACTTAGACCTGAGTGCAACAATGGAGGCTCTAGACCCTTCCAGAGCTGAGATATCGAAAATCAAAATTTCGACCAGAAAAAAAAAACGACAGTGTTACCCCTTACGTTTTTTTTTTTTGGGCGAAAAATTAAGTTTCCTCAATCTTCTCAAAACTCTGGATTCTGATAGAGGTCCATAAGACTTAGACCTGAGTGCAAAAATGGAGGCTTTAGACCCTTCCAGAGCTGAGATATCGAAACTCAAAACTTTCGACCAGAAAAAAAAACGACAGTGTTACCCCTTACGTTTTTTTTGGGGGGGGGGGGCGAAAAATTAAGTTTCCCAATCTTCTCAAAACTCTGGATTCTGATAGAGGGCCATGAGACTTAGACCTGAGTGCAAAAATGGAGGCTTTAGACCCTTCCAGAGCTGAGATATCGAAACTCAAAATTTCGACCAGAAAAAAAAACGACAGTGTTACCCCTTACGTTTTTTTTTTTTTTTGGGCGAAAAATTAAGTTTCCCCAATCTTCTCAAAACTCTGGATTCTGATAGAGGGCCATAAGACTTAGACCTCAGTGCAAAAATGGAGGCTTTAGACCCTTTCAGAGCTGAGATATCGAAACTCAAAATTTCGACCAGAAAAAAAACGACAGTGTTACCCCTTACGTTTGTTTTTGTTTTTTTTGGGCGAAAAATTAAGTTTCCCCAATCTTCTCAAAACTCTGGATTCTGATAGAGAGCCATAAGACTTAGACCTGAGTGCAAAAATGGAGGCTTTAGACCATTCCAGAGCTGAGATATTGAAACTAAAAATTTCGACCAGAAAAAAAAAAGGACAGTGTTACCCCTTACGTTTTTTTTTTTTTGGGCGAAAAATTAAGTTTCCCCAATCTTCTCAAAACTCTGGATTCTGAAAGAGGGCCATAAGACTTAGACCTGAGTGCAAAAATGGGGGCTTTAGACCCTTCCAGAGCTGAGATATTGAAACTAAAAATTTCGACCAGAAAAAAAAAAAGGACAGTGTTACCCCTTTCGTTTTTTTTTTTTGGGGCGAAAAATTAAGTTTCCCCAATCTTCTCAAAACTCTGGATTCTGATAGAGGGCCATGAGACTTAGACCTGAGTGCAAAAATGGAGGCTTTAGATCCTTCCAGAGCTGAGATATCGAAACTCAAAATTTCGACCAGAAAAAAAAAAGGACAGTGTTACCCCTTTCGTTTTTTTTTTTTGGGGCGAAAAATTAAGTTTCCCCAATCTTCTCAAAACTCTGGATTCTGATAGAGGGCCATGAGACTTAGACCTGAGTGCAAAAATGGAGGCTTTAGATCCTTCCAGAGCTGAGATATCGAAAATCGAAATTTCGATCAGAAAAAAAAACGACAGTGTTACCCCTTACGTTTGTTTTTTGTTTTTTTGGGGCGAAAAATTAAGTTTCCCCTATCTTCTCAAAACTCTGGATTCTGATAGAGGGCCAATTATTCAAAATCGTCTGGTGTCGTTTAAAGCCCTTTGAAGCTAGCCTGGTTCAACCAGACTCTAGTACATTTCATTTGCACATAGAGTCCTGAACCACACAATTGAGAAACATTTCCTTCCTTGTAGGCGGGTTCACTATTAACGTTCAAATCTATTGGATCTGCCCAGAGTCACTCACGATCTGCCATAGCCAATGCGCTAACGTGTGGTCGTGAGTGACGTATGTCACGCGCCAAAATGGCTGGAAAAAAACAAGTCAGAGGATTATGTTTACAATAAGATTTCAGTCAACGAGAGCTGCAGGTTTTGTTAATCTAGGAACAATTATTAATTCGAAATGTATATTTGACACGAAGGACAGTGATATATTCATTCAACGGTGGAAGCTGTGTCTAATCATTACAAATACGTCGCTGTGGTCGTTTTCTGATCTGCCGCAAATGCTGTAACTGCTACAGTGAATGATCAGTCTGTCTCTATCTGCAGATGTGTAATAAACAACAATTTTTCATATTAAGTCTTATTGTTTCGTAATTACCTTAATTATAGTCTTCAAAGTATGTGTTTGTACATTTTTATGTGGCATTTAGTTTTTTTTTTTTATTAAAACAAATTAACCATTACCATCTAAATCTGAAAATCAAATATCTTCAAAGTATGGGTTATCACATTTTTATTTATGACAAGTATTTTTTTTTAAAAATCACAACCAATTTGTATGATTCACAACGTGTAAAACTGACACACCAACCTCCTGCACGAGTGCACAAAGGGGCTCAAAATGTTCATCACAAGAATCAGTAAATATACAGTTGGGAATATGAGCGACTGACATGACTCCTGAGCGGATCTTCAACAATAGTTTAGCAGCCAGGACTCGGGGCTTCCGAACACCGCGAACACCAGGCTAAACCGTCCGTCCAAAATGTCACGGTCATCGTGCACGAGCTGCCCAGCACAAACTTCCAAACTTTCTGCCTCCTTCACTTGGTCCTCCGTTGTGCAACAAGAGGTGAGACGATAACAATACGGCTTTAAATTCTGTATATTTCCAACAACGGCCCGAATAGCTTTTCTCACGTCTTTCTCCGCTGCCATTACTGAACTCAAACTGACGCGCTTACATCAACGTCATCATTATCAGCCACTCCCTCTATTCGCTGATTGGTCCTACAAAAAATTGATTTCTGGAAACCTAAGGATACACAGGAGTCCCAGACGCAGTACTGAAGGGAAATGAAATTGAGCGGAAGTGCGTAGGAGGGCGCAGCCAGGCTACTTTGAAGCTGCACTGAAACTCTCATTTGGACCTTGAACCGTTTGGTTCCATTAAAGTCCATTATATGGAGAAAATCCTGGAATGTTTTCATCAAAAACCTTAATTTCTTTTCGACTGAAGAAAGAAAGACGTGGACATCTTGGATGACATGGGGGTGAGTAAATTATCAGCAAAAGTTTTTTTAAAAGTGAACTACGGTGATTAAACTGACTGGAACTACCTGTGCATTAAACCGTTTTAATGCGCACTTTCCTGCCAATATAAATAAAGTATTCAGGTAGACCATGGTATAATGAGCTAATAAAATATTTCAACTCAAAATTACTTATGTGCAAAGTAGCTGTGTAATAAGCAGGATAATGTTCATTCAGCTTCATGTCGGGGGTTCTGAACACCCTGTCAGGGTTTATTTTGCGATAACAACCAGCTGGATGTACATGATAACCAATGGGTGCTAAATCAGAACTCACATTGTAAGAAGTCTCCTCTGGTCCTCGGCTCAGTCTGTTGTAAATGTCTATGGGCTGGAAAAGGTCAGAGTTGAATTACGTCAGATGCATTTAACACACAGCGGTAAACATGCTTGTGTTGATGTGGTTAGATGACTCACTTGCCGGGAGGGATGTGAGTGTCCGTACCTGTTTCAGTGTTCAACGGACAACTCGGGGAGTTTTCAGCTGACTGGTCGTGCTCATCGACTGTAAATATAACAGTGTTCGCTGTCAACAGCCATTTGTGCATCAGCAGGCGATAGAATGCAAAGCAGATGTCGGCTCTGGAGGACTAGATCTTGTGGATCGGTGTTTATATACTCGCCTAATTCTGAGATCTTCGTCGATTCTCTGTCACAGACCTCGCTGACTTTATCTCTCAGCTCTGTCAGAGCTTTTCTCAATATCAGCAAAGGAAAGTACGGATGGACATCAATGCTGGGCCGACCTCCAGTGTCAGGTGGAGCGCAGAGCGCCTTATAGTTCTGCACAGGTGAGTCAGACAGGTAAAGTTAGTGTGTTAACGTACAAGCAAACACACACTGCATGGCCCAAATTCCCCTACAGACTAAAAACAAAGAGAATGAAAGCAACTTCTTTTCTTCAGTATCGTGACCTCCAGCCAAACAAACAAATTGAGTTGATATTTCAGACTTCACCTGTAGGAAATGGATATGATCCTCAGTGTTCGAGAGCGCATCAAGCTCGGCCTCTCCTCTTCTTTGTTCAACTATCTGTTGACTCAGTCGTTCTAGAAGCTTCTCCGTCTGGCTGAGAGCTGTCCTCTCCTCAGCTCTGATCTGCTCTTTCACCTCCGAATGCTTCTTTTCAACGGTGCGCAGCAATCGGAGGAAGATTTTTTCACTGTCCTCCTCAAACGCTTGTGCAGAACGCTATTGCATTGATAGAAAGGGTTGTTTAACCCTCTGGTCCTGTTCACTTATAAGCCACACTTAGACTGTTTGCTGGTCTAACAGAACCAACACCAGAAATGTATCTTTTTGTTAAACAAAATTAATGTGCTATATTTTTATCCTCAGTATATATTTTTTTGTTCATATTTTGTGTTTTGAGAGCATTTCATGGTAAGCTACTAAACAAAATTGATCTCCAAATTATGCCCCATTTATTCCATTTTAAAATGTACAATCATTAGGATACATTTCTCAATACATAGGTCAATTTTTTTTTCCACAAAGTTCTAACTTTCAGCTTTCAATTTCATATCCATAATGCACTAAACACTTCATACATCAACTCATTGTTCGATACAACCAGCAAAGTTTGTCGCCCAACAAATAGACTTTTATTCATAAAACAATTACATAAAAAACACCAACAACAGATAGCATTACACAATGTTTTGTGAAATTTCGGTAACGATTTACTGTGCATAAGACTGACATGACATATGTCTTGAATATGAAGTAAGGTTTATGCATGTTTATAACTGTCATTAAGTGTCATTCACTCAGTTATGACATTTTGAATGCAAATATGACATTGTTTGAGATGACTTTATGACATCTTGACATAAACCATAACATCATAACCTGTCAGTGTCTTTGTCATGAAAACTTAAAATAAAATGAAGTTAAAATGTCATGTGGTTGGCTTTGACATTGGCTGTCATGAGGCCATTATAACTGTGTCATGAATATTCTTCGTGACCTCAACTACAGTGGTACTAATTGATTTTGTCATTAAAAAGTTATAATGGCTTCATGACAGCCAATGTCAAAACCAACCACTTGACAGTTTAATGTACTGTTAACCAGTAAAGCTAGGTGCTTTCTTAAGTTTGATCATTAATCTGCTATGTCATGTTTATTTATGACAGGTTATGATGTATATGTCAGGGTGACATATAACAAAGACAATTCAAACAATGTCATATTTGCATTCAAAATGTCATAACTGAGCGAAGGACACTTAATGACAGTGTCACAAACATGCATAAAACTTCCTTCATATTCATAACATATGTCATGTCATGATTATGAAGGTGTGATGTTAGTCTTATGCACACCCCTTCAAGTAAAGTGGCACTGAAATTTCTTTACACAACATGACGCACTCTACTGTTACATGGTCCGTGTTTACATTACAGTAAAAAATTAAGTTTTCCCTTTTGTTGATGGTAATGAAACACCTGAGGTGTTCAGCTACATCTAACATCTAGATTTGTAACATGTTTTACTGTAGAAATGTAGCAAATTGATGTCTTTTTTGGGTTATGTTAGGTTTTTAACTTTAAGGGATAGTTCACTTTGAAATACATTTTTTATATGTTTTAGCTTACCTCAAAGCCATCCAAGATGTACGTGTCTTTGTTTCCACAGTTTTTTCAGTTTTAATATTTTTATGTCAAACGGTTCTTGTCTGTCAGTCATATAATGGAGGTCTATGCTCGCCTTGCTCTGTTCTGTGACGCACGTTTGTGACTCTCCTGTTCGAACTCGTTTATCAAAATGAACGAATCTTTTTCCGAGTCATTCGGTTCATTCAACGAACATAATGAACATATTGACTCGGAAAAAGATTTGTTCATTTTGATGAACGAGTTCGAACAGGAGAGTCACGAACGCATCACAGAACAGAGCAAGGCGACCATTTGAGTTTATAAAACTTAAACTTTGTTTTTTTTTTTTTAAATAAACGATCATTTCGCTAGATAAGACCCTCATTCATTATATGGAGAAAATGCTAGGATGTTTTTGCATCAAAAACCTTAATTTCTTTTCGACTGAAGAAAGAATGACATGGACATCTTGGATGACAGTAAATTATCTGCAAAAGTTTTTTGAAAACCGAACTACTCCTTTAATAAAGCAAAAGCGCAGATGTGTTCCACACAAAAATACGCAATCTGTCATTATCTGAAATGTTCAGCACAACAGTAGACCTACCTTGACGTATTTCATAATGTCTCGGAGTTCCTTTTCTCGTTCCTTGCACCTCTGTTTTGACTTCTTCCACGCCTCCTCAAGATGTTTCTGTTTGTTAAACCATGAGCGTGAGAATTTTGCCATCTTCAAACTCTAATTTGTGCAATTCAAAGACTTTCTTTACAGTTTTTCTTACCTGTTTTTCCATCCTCTCCTCCATCACCGACACCACGCTGTGCCCCTTATGTCCGTCTTTTAAGCACGAACTACAAACGCATTGTTGGTCTGTGCGACAGTAAACATCCCGCAATTTATTGTGCCGCGAACAGACTGTTTTCTGCGCTTGTTTTGTAACCTCAATAAGTGGATGCATTCTTCCTCGATTCCTATCATTGTGAAGCTTCAAGTGAATTTCGCAGTACAACGTCTGACATTTCACACAGAACTTAACAGCTCGGTGTTTCTTCCCAGTGCAAACGTCACACTCCACATTCTCTGCCTTGGCACGAGGATCTTGAACGGAGGTTCTCCTCAGTTGCTCCACTATATCAGCCAGCATGGTGTTTTTCGACAGCGCAGGTCTGGGGCTAAAGGTGCGTCGACACTGGGGGCAGCTGTATTCCTCTTTTAACTCGCATTTCCTCCAGTAACCTTTAATACACTCCATGCAGTAACTATGTCCGCAGGGAATAGTCACCGGCTCCCACAGCACTTCCAAGCACACCGAGCAACAGAATTGGTCCTTGTCGACAGAGATATTTGTTCCTGCCATTTCCCCTACATGCGTACAGTCAGAGGAGAGTGAAATGAAAGGCAGTGAATTGGTCGCCAAGGACAGAGAGGACGAAACAATGATTGTTTGTGTATAAACTGGGCGTGAACACAATGCAGGTACAGTAGAGGCTTATCAGGTTTCAGTCCGAAACAGCCTGAAGCGGCCAATCACACACGAGAACAGGAAAGGGCCACTTCTTTGCTTTTATGCAAATTGAAGTTCCAGGTGGGTAAACTTGCTTTACATGCAACATACATACATTATATTTTGTGCTCTGCTCCACCATTTTGAGAAACACATTGAGGGTTTTAAGCATTCAAAAAAATGTATGTGGTTGACATAAAACACGGTTTTGAGAAAGGATTCCATCAATTTCTAAACGTATATTTTTCAGTATCGTTTCATTGATCAGGGCTTCCCAAACACATTCATGCTAAAACATCTTAGAATACACACTCACCTAAAAGATTATTAGGAACACCCGTTTAATTTCTCATTACTGCAGTTATCAAATCAACCAATCACATGGCAGTTGCTTCAATGCATTTAGGGGTGTGGTCCTGGTCAAGATAATCTCCTGAACTCCACACTGAATGTCAGAATGCTCAGTTACTGGGATTTTCACGCACAACCATTTCTAGGGTTTACAAAGAATGGTGTGAAAAGCAGTGGTGGAGGAAGTACTGAATCTCAGTACTTAAGTGAAAGTACAAATAACCAGATAAATATTTACTTTAGTAAAAGTAGAAGTAACACAATGACAACCATGATTTTACCTGTACTTTAAGTATTAAAAGTAAAAGTACTTGCATAACAATTTATTCTCTTAAATGTCTATTTTCTAATGATTAAGGGCCGGTTCACATATCGCGTCTTTTGCGCGCTCAAGTTCGTTATTTCAAATGTAGGCGCGCGGTATGCGCGCTCATAATGGAAGCGGTGCGGTCGCGGTGCAACACGCTCGGTTTTTCCATGTGCGTCCGCGCCGCGTCGAGATAAAAACATCTCAACTTTTCAGAATACCGCAAGCGCACCATACGCACACAATAGGTCATTTGACAAGAACCAACTGAAGCGCAACCACCCTGGCGCTTTGGAAAATGGAGAATGCGGTGGCCCAGCGTTTTCTACGCGTTTTTAGGCGCTATATGTGAATCCGGCCTAATGAAACATTTAATTCTAACTCATTCAACCTAATACTCATATAATGATGGAAAAAAAAGTTATTATCACCATTTCTGAAACAAGCTTGCAATTTACACATCATGCTTATCCTTACTATATGTTAATAACTATGTTTGGCAGTAAACGCAATTAATTTATGGTGTAATTCTGAACCTCTTGGCTTGCCATAATCCTAACCAAACGTACTACACACGGTGCATTTCCTATCCACGTAAAAAAAAATTTTCGCGTATAAATTGCACGATAAACGCACTGCGTGTGAGACGCATTAAGTGTGACCAGAGAATGTGACCGGGTTGATATATCTATGGGAATCAAACGTCACTGGTGAGACAAACGTGCAACGGACAGACGGTCAGATTACGTTTTGGCCGGGGAAAAACTGATCAGAAAATGTAATGAAAAAGTAACAGAAGTTGTAGAAATGTAGTGGAGTAGAAAGTATAATGATTGCTGCAAAATGTAACGAAGTAAAAGTATGCACTATTTATTCTACTTAAGTAAAGTAAAGATACGTGAAAAATGTACTTAAGTAAAGTAACAAAGTATTTGTACTTTGTTACATTCCACCACTGGTGAAAAGGGAAAAAACATCCAGTATGAGTCAGTCCTGTGGGCGAAAATGCCTAGTTGATGCGAGAGGTCAGAGGGCCGACTGATTCAAGCTGATAGAAGAGCAACTTTGACTGAAATAACCACTCGTTACAACCGAGGTATTCAGCAAAGCATTTGTGAAGCCTCAACACGCACAGAGAGAGAGGAGGGTTAAAGTGGTTAAATTCAATTGGTTCCACAATAAAATCCCAGTGCCATCAAACTACTTGTAAAAACTTTATTTTGTATGATTTTTTGTTCCATAATTTTAAAAATACTTGCAATTAAACAATGTTTAATACACACAAATACCGTTCAGACGTATGAAGCTAAAATAACACTTCTATGAATATAGACGTCATCAGTTGATAAACACTGATAAATTACACCAATATAGCACACTATATAATGTGTTTGATTAATACTTAAGAAAATAATATAATCATAGCTTAGTCAACAAGTAATAATTAGTTTAAAGTGGACCAATTATGCTTTTTTACATGCTCAACTTTCTTTGATCTGTAATGTTGCTGTAATATCAGTGTCACTGTTTCTGAACGAACACGTCACTATATTACTCATTCAAATAATTCCCACCCAAGGCGGCATACGCAGAATAAATGGATGAGGCCTGGTTGAATTAGTTATTAGTGTGTTAAAACTCACTGTTTTGGAAAAGAGCAGGACACTTGACCAATCACTACACACTGGTCAAGCCGACCAATCAGAGCACATTGTGCTTTTCAGAAGGAGGGGCTTTATACAGACAGGAATTAAACAGAGCGTTACTGACAGACTGGGAAGAGAGGTGCTGCAACAACAACATCAAATATGTGAAAATTAAGCATGAAAAAGTCAATCAAGACTTTGTAAAAGAGCATAATTTGGCCTCTATAAAAGTTTGGAACACACAATATTCTAACTTTCACTCCAAGCACATCTGTAATTATAAGATATACAGTTTAACATTCTGTAAGTTTAAAGTTTATACCATTGAGACTTGGACAGTAGACACTGAAACGCATCTGCATTTACATTTCCGTCTTATTTAGTAATAAGAGTTTGTGGTTAATATAGCTTTACATTTTTTACCATGAAAATGTACATATTCCAAACCACTCTGTCAAACCGACTTTGGCCTCTTCAATGAATTATACTCAGGCCACACTTAAGGCTACCTTCGTCTCCTACGTGGCTGTAGTCTCTGACGAGGACCTTGTGTTCTCGATCCTGAAGAGGAAAGAAGATGAGAGGACAGTGATTTACCTTACACAGAAACAAAGAGGTCAAAGATGACACCATGGTCACGGCTTGATCTCGTCATGTCTCAGGTTAACACTGTAGAATAACATCTTTTCCTGATACTCACCAAATGACGAGAATGGAAACACACCAATTGTCGGGACGCTGACGGTGAAAGGGATCTGTACAGGCTGGCCAAACAACGGTGCTAAAGCTATGAAATAAAAAAATTATCCTGTTAGCACTGTAAGCTTTTTCTCATGTAGTTGACATGAAATTAATGAGGTATTAACAATATTTTTATTATATTAAAATGAAACATCCTAGAACGTTTTTTAAGCTCTGTTCCAAAACCTAGTGAGCTGCCTAGCTAGAAAGCATTTTAAGTCATAATCTACACTATCAAGTAAAAGTTTGACATCACTAAAGTTTTTTTTTTTTTTAAACAATGATACTTTAAGCTACTTTTTTTTATGAAATGCATCACGGTTTCCAAATAATAACGGTTATATTATTTATATAGCTGCAAATCATCATATTAAAATGATTTCTGAAGGGTCATGTGACACTGAAGACTGGAGAAATGACCCTGAAAATTCAGCTTTGATTACAGGAATAAATTACATTTTACAATATATTTAAATTAGGGCTGTCAAACGATTAATCGTATCCAAAATAAAAGTTTGTGTTTACATAATACATGTGGGTGCACTGTGTATAATTATTTTATATACACACGCTTGTATATATTTAAGAAATATTTTCATGTATATACTGTATATAGATTTATATTATATATATATATATATATATATATAAATATTTTATATATAATTCATATTTTTTTTCTTAAATATATATGCATGTATGTGTGTGTATATGTATATACATATATATATACACAGTGCACCCACATATATTATGTAAACACAAACTTTTATTTTGAATGCGATTAATCATTTGAGAGCCCTAATTTAAATAGAAATCTATTATTTTAAATTGTAATAATATTTAACAATATTACTGTTTTCACTGTTTTATTTTTTTATTTAATTGAAATCTAAAAAGTATAGATAAATCAAAAAAATCAAATCAAAAGTGCAAAGTATTTTTTTATGCATATTACAATTTTACAGAAGTAGTTTAACAACAAGCTAATGCCAGATTCTGTTGGAATAAATTGCGAGTTCTTTGTATAAAAATAAATGTTCTTTATTGCCATTGACGTTTCAGAAACCCTTAACATCCATGAAAACTTTCCATTCCATGGTGGAAAAACATTCGTCACACTAAGTGTAGACAGCAGGCGTCAAAGCAGCGCACTAGGGTTCAGAACAGATTCTATAAACTTCATTTAAATTTTTGACTAAATTTTTCATTCAATTTTAAATTCAAATTTTGTCTAGACTTAATTGAAGGCATTTTAAATTGCATGGACTCTTACCTTCATTTGAGTCTGAATCTGTCTTTGGTTTAGTGCTCTGAATAATAATAACATCACTCACTGCAAACCAGAACAGGAGTGTTAGAGTAATTTCACAATACAATGAAATATTGATTTAGTTGTGGCATTTAAGACACAATGCAAGGCTGTTTACCTTTCTCTGAGATATTGACAAATCCGCCCTGACAGACGTCCTCGAGAAGAGCCTGAAACTCCGTCACCACCGCCATCACAGTTCCAAAGTTTGGGTCACAGGTAATGTTTGGCAAGTCTACAGGAACCGGCTGAGCACACAGAGACTTGCAGTTCTGAATAAGAACAATGGGGAGGAAATGATTGCAACCATGTTAGCCATAGGCAGTGGTTTAACTTCAAGCCTGTGTGAATCAAAAACCATAAGCAACCCAAATCCAATTCCTGATACTGGTTTCAGTTCACAAAGGCTAGTTTTCATCTCAGCACACAATGACAGATTAAAGGACAGACTGATGCAATCTCAATTCTGTGTCTCTCTTTCAGTCCTTTGAAGTTTTCAATTTTTCACATGGTTTTCAAGTGTTCACCATGTGAAACTCAATGACAACCAGGAATACCAAACAGGTATTGCTCACTTTTGATGGAACTGGTCACCCAAAAGTTAACATTTTTAAAGTCACCATGAAATTAAAATGGCCAATTATCTCTTTTTTATAGTATGTTGCAGTGCTTGTTATAAATTACATATTTGTGCTCAATGTTTTTTTGTGTTTTTTTTCCACATATATTAAATTTTATAGTATCTTTAATTAAAAAAAGGGGGGGGGGGTTACAATGAGGCAAAATAATATATATTTTTAATTATTAATATTATTTCAATGTAACGCTACATCTTTGCAAGACAATTACTTAATCAACAACAACAAAAAATATTAGGGCTGTCAGACGATTAATCTCGATTATTATTTATATATAAAATATTTATATATAATATAAATTATATATAAATCTATATACAGTATATACACGGAAAATATTTCTTAAATATATACAAGCATGTGTGTGTATTTTTATATATATATATATAAAATAATTGTACACAGTGCACACACATATATTATTTAATTATCGTTTGACAGCCCTAATATATATTGTCGCTGCTGGGCAGAAACCTCATATCTCCATTTTTTTAAGTCTAAACTTTGAGTAAACATCTAGCAATTCTGATTTTTTTTTTCTAAAATTAAAAATAAGTCTGAATTGGAAAATGTTAAATCAAAATGAGAAAATTGTGAGAAATAAAAAGTCTGAAAATAAAAAAAAAAGTCACAATTACCTTTAAGTTTTTATTCCAAGGCAGAAACAGGCTTCCATACTAAATAGATTTAAGAGCTATTGATTTGAACACAAAATGAATCACACAGCCTATTTTTATGGTGCCTTTTTGACTTTAACCCCTTAACTGTCACCGTCCCGGTACCGGGACGCCTACTTTACTTCACTATATTTCTATTAAATCCTAATCTAATTATGACAAATTATATATTGCTGGAAAGGTCTAAGACTTCTAAATAGATATTCTACCCCTGTTTTGTGTTTAAAATTATGTAGGAAGAGTAATTGATAAATTTATGACAAGAGTGCACCTCAAAAAGAGTTTTGACCTTTGTCACAAAAAGTCGATGAACCCACTTTTAATCATTGAAACTTTTGTTTTTATGCTAAAAGTTCATAATAAACATATAATCTAGTATTTTTCAATAAAAAATAAAAATTATAGTACAATATTATCCTCTAAATATGATCATATTTATATTTATTATCCTCTAAAATATAATATTATTTTTTATCGCCTTTTTTTATTATATCACATATTTTAGTAGTTATCATAAATTAGGTATCATTTGAAAGCTTATAAACTCAGAATTCATCGTGTGAAAACTTTTTTATAATTGAAAGTTGGGTTACCATAGAAACAGTACTTATTTTATCAGGCTCCTCCCCTTTTGGGCATCATTATATTTCATAATTTATGATTAAAACCTTTTCTAATCTTGACAAAACTGATATTGTCAGAAAGGTCAGAGTCTCAAGGTTCCAAATTTTGTGACAGAATTGATATTTGGACAGAAATGTATTAATTTGTTAAGGCAGAATATATACAACTAAATTCAATGGAATTCAATGGCACCCGGTGGATATTTTTGGTACTACGCCTAAACAAAATCTCATGGGAACTTCAATTTTTGTGATATCAACTTCAAATTTGCAACATAACTTGATAAGATGTATGGCTTTGATTTTATAGAAATTTTATAGTAAAAAATATTTTATAAAATATATATTTTATATAAAATAAAAAATATATAGTACAGCATATTTAATTTACTGTAAATTTAAACTTCCATAACTTTGTCATACTTTCATTTTTTGAAGTGTTTTCACTTCAGCAATATTCTGTTGAGTGTTTTCTTTAAAACATATATTCCAAAGCATTCTTAAATTACAACCATTTAAGTTTGAATAGTGCATTTTAACCCCCATTCTCAAAAAGGGTGACAGCTAAGGAGTTAAAAAGCTTCCGGCTGCTATATGCTTTCATTAGAAAGGAAAATATAAATGAAAAATATCTTTTGTTGCATCAACAGGTTTGAAACAACATGAAGGTGAAGAAATAATGACAATTTTCATCTTTTGGTGAACTATTCATACAAACGTGAAACATCTATTTCTAAAAAAATAAGTAGTAAGTGAGTGTTGCGTATTAGGTTTGAAAATGTGCTTCATGAACTAACCACCATTGTGTGCTTGGATAAGGCACTTAACTTTGAATAACCAGCAGCGTTACCTGAAGGAAGGCGATATGGTCCTCTGTTTGCGAGAGCTCTCCTAATTCACGGTGTCTTTTCTTCAGCTCTGTTATCTCCTGCTCCAGTTGTTGAAGAAGTGCTTCAGCCTGGCTCACTGCCGCCCTCTCCTGACCCCGGATCAGCTCCTTCACTTCAGCGCGCCGTCGCTCTATAGAGCACACCAGCTCTGTGAAGATGCGCTCACTCTCCTCAAGGGCTGACTGTGCGGAGAGCTGGCGGGAGACAAAAGCAAAATTACAACGCATGACTTCGGCTTTAAAGGGGTCACGCCGTGGAAAACAGGATTTTTATTGCTCTTTTGCTCTTTTAGTGAGAGTTTGATGTACTGTCACTTTCAGAACTCCTTCCAATCAGAACATTGAGTGAAACTTAAAGGGACAGTTCACCCAAAAATGATTTCATCACCCTCAAGTCATGTAGGTGTATATGACGTTCTTATTTCAGACGAATACAATCGGAGTTATATTAAAAAAATGTCCTGGCTCTTCCAACCTTTATATTGGCAGTGAATGGACGTTTCTGTTTTGAAGTCCATCATCCATCCATGATAACAGTCCTCCACACGGCTCTGGCTGGTTAATAAAAGGCCTTCTGAAGCTATGTGATGCGTTTGTGTAAAATATCCATTTTTAAAACTTTATAAAGTAAAATAACTAGCTTCCGGCCAAACGAAAATATGGATTTCACTTAAATTTCTCTCCTTTGGATTTCTCTCCTTTGTTTGTTGGTTTCAATCCTTGAGGGTAAAGGAGAGGAACTTACTGAACAAGGTTGTTAGTATTAGCAGTAAAATTATTGGGTGTCCACAAGAAACCTTAATGGATCTTTACAAAAAACAACCGTTTAAGAAAGCAAACTCCATCTTGACTGACTGTTCTCATCCTTTACATCAACAGTTTCAGTTTTTACCATCAGGTTCACTGCTCAGACTCCCATTTGTCAAAACATCCAGATTTAAACACTCCTTTGTTCCGTCTGCTGTCTCTCTTCTAAATGCAAGGAGGGTAAGGTAGCTTACACATCTTGGAATTGATTAGAACGTGCATTATGTTATTTTATTATACTATGTGTATTTATGTCTGTAAGTCTGTGCTCCTATGCTGTGAAATCAATTGCCCCACTGAGGGGACAAATAAAGGTATTGAACTTGAACTAAATCTAAAGCGCAACTTATGCGAGTAATGAGACGTACTGTTGCACTACAACATGCACGTTTGTGACTCTCCTGTTTGAACTCGTTCATCAAAATGAACAAATTTTTCGTTGAATGATTTGTTCATTTGGATGAACGAGTTCGAACAGGAGAGTCACAAACATGCATCACAGAACAGAACAAGGCGAGCATTTGTGCTTATAAAACGTAAACTTTTATTTATTTATTTTTTAAATGACCGCTCGTTTCGCTAGATAAGACCCTTATTCATCGTCTGGTGTCGTTTAAAGCCCTTTGAAGCTGCACTGAAACTCTCATTTGGACCTTGAACCGTTTGGTTCCCAATGAAGTCCATTATATGGAGAAAAATCCTGGAATGTTTTCATCAAAAACCTTAATTTCTTTTCGACTGAAGAAAGATAGACATGGACATCATGGATGATGGGGGTGAGTAAATTATCAGCAAAAGTTTTTTTTTAATGAACTATTCCTTTGATGCATCCTTGTTGTATTAATTTCTTTTATGTATATATATATGTATATATATATATATATATATATATATATATATATATATATATATATATCTTACTGATCCCAAACGGTACAGTACATAAAACTATAAAGTGAACTAATAAATACATTAGACTTTCCTCTCACAATGAACATTTAATATATAAAATGAGCTAGACAGAAGTGTTATTTGCCCCCAACGAATACAATATTATTAAAAAGCTATCAGTGTGTGATGGGAGAACAGAAAGCACTCACAGTGAGTTTCTGTGCAGCCTGTCTCAGGTCTGCCAGCTCCTTCTCTCTCTCCTGAATCCTCTGCTGGGAAACCACCTGCATCTCCGCCAGAGCATTCTGGGAAGAAAAACACAGGTTACATAATGGTTTGTTCGGACTCCTAAAAATCACTCTAGAAATGCTTTAGACAATTTTACCTTTTTCTCATTCATCTCGGCTGTAGCTAGAACAGTGTCATGTCCTTTGTGTTCATCCGTCAAACAAAGGTAACAAATACACTGCTGATCTGTGCGGCAAAACACCTCTAGAAGTCGATCATGCCGAGAGCAGAGCTGTTCCTGTATCTTCTTCGAAGGAGAAACCAGCTTGTGTTTCTGGAAGGCAGGAGACTCGAAGTGAGGTTGAAGGTGAGTCTCGCAGTAAGACGCCAGACAGACCAGGCAGGATTTAAAGGCTTTGTTTTTCTTCCCAGAGCACACATCACACTGAACATCCCCGGGTTCAGCTTGGGTGGGATCGGACGGGGTCGGCCCAGCATGCAGTCCTGTCTTCTTCAGTTTCTCCACCACATCAGCCAGCATCGTGTTCCTGCCCAGCAAAGGTCTGGGAGCGAAGCTCTGCCTGCATTGAGGACAGCCGTAGATCCCCAGATAGTCGTCCTGGTCCCAGTAGCCTTTAATGCAGCCTTTACAGTAGCTGTGTCCACATGGAATAGTCACGGGGTCCTTTAAGACATCCAGGCATATAGAACAGTTGAACTGGTCATGCTCCAGGAAAACCCCAGCTTGCGCCATTTTGAAAGGATTCTTGCCGTCCAGCACCAGTAGCAGAACGAAGCCCAGGCAAGCTTTGTTTATGCAGGAAGTGAGTCATGTGACCACAGTCTTGACAGGAGGGGGAGGGGCGGAACAGCTGCTCTCACACAACTGAGCATGTCAGAAAACCAAAACACAGTTCAGCTCTGTTACAATTAGAAGGTCAAATGCCACCCTACAAATCAGCGAATATAAAAATAAAATATATTTATATTTTAAAATGTCCCGAGATGCCCCAAATATATGTCTATATATTTTCTTATATATATATATAGCTAAAACAACAATTTAATAAATTATGTATTATTTAATGTCTTAATCATATTGGAATAATATAATATATTTTATATTCAGATATACATTTATTTATAACAGTACAAATTAATATGATTATATAAATAAATTTATCAAATGTATTACACCATTTTATTTATTTTACCTTCTTTTTCTCTTATATATAAAAATAAAAGAGAAAAGGGTAAAAAAAAAAAATAATTACCACCAAAAATTAATTTAATTTTTTAATTATTTAATAAAGGTAAATTAATTCAATTATATGTAATTATTATATTATATATACGAGAAAGAGAAGGTAAAATAAATAAATAAAAAAGGTGTAATACATTAAAAACCTGCTTGATCATTTATTAAACTTATATCTTATCTTTTTATTTAATATTGTGTACACTGTGAGGTCCACAAAGAAAATAATCTAATTTAAATTTGGAAATAAACTAAATTATTAAAAAAATGTTAAAGTAAAACAAAGAAACATCATATCGTATCAAAGAAAATGATACAAAATATTTGGAATTGTTCAGAGTTCTCTAGTCAGATAAAACTAAATAACTAATACTAATTAGAAAAACCCTTATACATTTTCTTGCTTACACTGAAGCATAAGATGCTCTCTGAAACATCTTAAATGATGCTGGAAAACGTGATGGTGATCATCAGGTTTTATTCGTGTTAGCTCCAGTGCTGCTGCCATTCATTCAAAATAGGTGAAAAATAAACAAATGCTCAGACATTGTGAAATGCATGTACATTTTTAATTCAACTTTCCACTTTGAGAGTGTAACACGACACTAGATGGCAGCAGTGTTGCATTCACTTGATACATGAACAGTGTTTATAAGCAAATGCTTCTAATAACTTAGAAACATAGACAAACAATATTGATGATGCAGTACTTTATTTCATAATGCAAGGCATCAGGTTTCATTACAGGTGGTTAAATAATTATACATAAATAAATTATGCAAATCTCATATTTTTTACTTGAATAAATATGTTCCCTTTTCACAAATAATAATAATAATAAACCATTTCACTTTTAAATAAGTAATTAACATATCTGACCGGCACAACAAATCATTGAGGTGATATGATAAAACAGCACGCTCAGATCTCATTTACCATTTCGACTATTAAAATATTCAGTGCAAATCCTTTTAAAGTGATTTTCGTAACGTTCATGTGCGTATTTGGTCATGGGAGCGTTCAAATGCTCCAAGCATTCAAGTTTTCTCAACATTCGATCATGCGTTCTCTTTGTCAACAGAGAAACATGCTCTGCGTTTTTGTCAGTTTCATTCCTTGCAGCTTCTGAAGTGGATTTTGTAAATACAATAATGAGAGTATAATACTTCTGAACTAAAATAAACTCTACAAAGGGCTGGTATGATAGAGTAAACACTGACAGGGTCTGGACCAGAAAACTGGTCTTTTTTTAAATTTTAAAACTGACATTTAGAGATAAGCTACATGATTCAAGGTTAGCGTCACGGGAAACTTACATGCACAAGGAAGGCTTACGGTAAGAGTTTTAGATATGATCATTTGGTCTTCTCGTCTAGTCCACTCTCAGCTCTCAGAGCCTGACTGCTAGCAGAGATGAATCTAATCCAGTGCTGAAGATCCTCGGAAATGTCAGGGCAGTCCACCTTAAAATTAGAGATGACATAGGTTAGTCAAACAGGAACTTACTTCAAAAAAAATTACCATGGTACACTCTGCTAAACAATGGTGGGTTGTTTGAACCCAAATTTGGGTCAAATATGGACAAACCCAAATGTTGGGTTAAAAATGCAATTAAAACATTTACAGTTGAAAGTTGAAGTTGGGTTAAAATTTGAAATTACATTTTTAACCCAACATTTGGGTTTGTCCATATTTTGCCCAAATTTTGGGTTCAAACAACCCAGCATTGTTCAGAGTGTTTTGAAAAATAAAATATTTTATTAAATTAAAATGAAATAATATCAATTTTATAAAAACTAAATAAACCAAAAATAGGATTTTTATTTTTTTGCAAATAATCTATATTTAAAAAGTTTTTAAAATATATTTAAAAATATACATTTAACAGTACATCACAATAGGGATAAGGTAACACTTTACAATAAGGTTCATTAGTTAATGTATTAACTAACATGAACTAAAAATGAGCAATACATGTGTTACAGTATTTATTATTTTTTGTATGTATTAGTTAATAAAAATACAGCTGTTCATTGTTTGTTTATGTCAGTCCACAGTGCATTAACTAATGTTAACAACATGATTTTAATAACATATTAATAAATGTTGAAATTAATATTAACTAAGATTAATAAATGCTGAAGAAGTATTGTTCAATTTTAGTTCATGTTAAATGAGGAAGTTAACTAATGAACCATTCTGTAAAGTGCTACCGGAAAAACATAATAGAAATTTAATTTTCCAAGTAATATTGTACACATTATAATACACATAATACACATTTTCATGAAATTAAATTAAAGCCTTTAATTTCAAATTTTCATTTAAATAAAAATAATTTGTATTTAAATATTTATATAAAAATATTTTCAAAACAATTTTAGTAGTATTTTACATTTTATGTATTTTTATAGTATAAATTGGGTCTTTTCTTTTTATCTTTTTGCTTGCATGAGGTTTTATATTTTAGCGTAAAGAAAACTAAATATTTTCAAAACAATATTTATAAGTTTTTAGGTAACACTTTATTTTAAGGTGACTAGTTGCACGTTATACATAATAAAAGTATAGTTTTGCATATGCATTAATACAAGTAACTAACCCTAAACCAAATCCTAGCCTAACTCTAGTTTATTAATATTACTCAGTACATATTTAAGTACAATATCACCTTAAAATAAAGGGTCACACTTTAGATTAGGGGCCAATTCTCACTATTAACAAACTACCAACTGCACTGTGAAAAATAATTGTTGGTTTAACCTAAAAAAAAAAGTACGTTTTCTTGGTTGCCTTAAAATTTTGAGTTCATTGAAATAAAACACAATTGAGTTTAATCAACAGAATCTCAAAATATAACATTATCTGAACCACATTAATTTTCCAATGTTGATTTGACAAAAGTTGTGGTCACAAATCATGAAATTATTTTTTTTACAGTGATGACTTTTGCCTCAATAAACTCCTAATTACTGATTTTTAATAGTTAATAATTAGTTTAAGTAGGTATTGGGTGGATTAAGGGATGTGGAATATGGGCATGGATAATAAGGCATTAATATGTGCTTTATAAGTACTAATAAACAGCCAATATCCTATGCTAATAAGCAACCAGGCCTAGTTAATAGTGAGAATTCGACCTTAAATTAAATTTCTAAATGAAGTGCAACCATAATGTTATTCTATTATGGTATAAATTGGGACTTTATACATAAAACATCCGCCTTTTAAATGGAAGGATGGGGTCACTAACACGAGGACAGGTCCAGAGTCTTTTAAAACAACTGCTTTAATGCACACAGATGTTAGTAAAAGTGCATACCCCCCTCTTGCAAAGGAAATCCAAGATCTTCTGTGGATTTCCTCGAATCACGTTCTGTCGGCACAGCATGACAGCAGAAATGAACCCGTCTGACTTGGACACGAATCTCTGCTCTATGTAGAAGGACTTCTCGTCCCACGACACGATGCGGGTGCGCAGCTCGAACGCCTCGCCGAGGGCCAGCGAGCGTCTGTAGCGGATGGTTGTGGCCCCGACCACCATGGTGGCGTTGAGCGCGCGTGCGGCCCCGAAGAGCCCGTTCCGGGTGCAGTGCGCAAAGCGGGCGAAGTCGCACTCGCGCAGATAGCGGGCGTTATTCATGTGACACATGAAGTCCAGGTCGTGAGGCAGAACCCGTCCGTGAACGACCTGCTCGGCCAGGACGTCTCGAATCGGACCCTGGAACCAGCACTTGATCGCCATCCACGAGCCTCTCAGGAAGTACCACACGTCAACACTGCCGAACAGAACCAGAGACCCGGACAGAATCCACAGCAGCATGATTCTGTTACACAGTGAAGATTATTAATTATTCACATCATGAATAATTCACGAGCGTCAGATGGAGATATAGAACTGGGTTAATTGATTTTTTTTTTTTTTACATTTAGGCTACTCTGATGCTTACAGACATCAGATGCTACAAAATACGACGCAAGACATTATTAGGTCATTATTAAATGTTAATGTAATAGTTGCTGTTAGAATATATATAGCTTAACATTCACTCGTTCATTTCGGAAATGAATGAAAAATCTACATTTAGATTAAATAGAAAACGCACATACAGAACATTGATAATATCGTGCAACGAAACCTATCCCAGGTCTACTTGTTTCGGTTTAAATACATATAAATTGACGAATTATGTGCATTTATCAATGTTTATAAGCATAATCTTGTCAAATATGATATGCTTGATACTCACGCGATGGACACCCAAAAAACCGGCTTCACGCACTTCCGCAATGACAGATTCTGCGCTCTGATTGGTTTAAGGAGGTAACGTGACTACGCAGTAGGCCGCGCTACATGACGACAGATTTTTATCATCACACTAGAAATAAGGTTTCCAAGACAAAACAAAAATATTTTGGATGGTGGTTACAGAAATTGAGATAATTAAAATAGTTACAATCTGAAATGTGTATTAAGACAGTTAAAATACATAATTATCTCAGAGTAACAGGATTAGAACATATTCAGGAAATTATTTAATATTTATTACATTTTAATTATTTTTAGGCGAAAAAAGGAAGGGTAAATGTTTTAGGGTAAAAAAAAAACTTATAGACAGATATCAACACACTTAGTTAATTGAATACATTAAATTGCAAACATGTTTTGTATTACAAGATTTCTGAAAAGTTAAGTTTAAATATGCAAATGATGCATTATCTAATTAAATATGCAATCATTTGCATACATTTGTAGAGCAAAATCTAAACATTGTATGAGGTCAGGTTCAAAATTCGTTTTTTTTTTTTTTTGACATATTAGAGTTAAAGGTTTTTACAAAGGGGATTTTGGATTTCTCTTTTCATCACTCCATAGATCAGAAAGTACTGTCTACAGCCAGAAAAACAAAATACTGTAATTAAAATAATAATAATAATAAAAAAAAAAACAGGAATTAAATGCATCAAATTAGGCAAATTATATATGAGAAATCCCCTCTGGAAAAACACATTTTGAAAAAAATATATATATATATTGAAACTGTAATTGAAAACTACAGATGCAAATAGACAAAGTGCTATGAAATATTCACAAGTGTATTTTCAATGTTTTCTTTCCACTAATCTAAAAAAAAAAAAACTTTTCGAAAAGCTAAAAAGCCCAAAACCTTAAAATTAACATATGCATGACAAAACAAAAAACAAAACAAAAAAACAGTGGTTTTGTCTGTGGTGTATCACATTAAATATTATTTTGTTTCCACTCCAGTCCAGTTGGTGACATTAATAAACCGCGAAATAAACCAGAAAATATTATTCATCCATTGGTTAAGAATTTATTTTTCGATATTCATAATCTTCCGCCTTGCATGAGACTAAATGTGGCACAAACGAGGTTTGTACAGGAGTACAGCAGAACTCACAGTTCTATTTTGCATAGGTGTATCCAAACACCTGAGACTTTAAAGTATGTGCATCAGAACGTTCTTGTGTTTTTGTAAACCATCGAGTAAGAGTTCATTTAGGGCAGAAGGCCATCATTCGTTCTTTTTATTATCGAGCTGACATTCCCCCCTGAGGGCTTTACTGCTGGCCGAGATGAAATTGATCCAGTGCTGCAGGTCTTCAGGAAATTCTGGCACTTCAACCTAGAAAGTCAGATTATAAATGTCAGGCTTCAATGTTTTTAAAATGCGGGAATTCATATTCGACTACTAAACAATTCCTTTAACTCTCTGGTATTCCTCACTTAGGGGTGAGTCACACTCAATAAAGATAGAAGTATATTTGTTTTAATAAAATGAATGTACTTTTTTGTTTCAATAATATTTATTCTTTAATATTTAGGGGGTTTTTTTGGGTGGATTTCATGGTACTAGATAATATTCACCATTTATTTCTATATAAAAACAATTCATATTTTCAATGAATACAATCTATCTATCTATAAGGCTGTCACTGTGTATTCATTAATTGCTTATAAGAGTATTTTCAGACATAATGATTTTTTAATAAGTTAAAAAAAAACTTATTTTTAATAAGTTTTGCATATATTTAGACATTAACAAAGACTATTTCATCAAGGCTGATTTGTAGATTTCTACCCCAAAAATTGCTCTGTATTTTTTAAGACCACTTAACTTTTTCTAATAATTTTTTTTCATGTGTTTATATACAGTAGCAAGTGGCACAAAAGTCAAAATGTTTTAAATGATACCCCCAATGAAGTACAAAATACAAAACATTAAATAATTGAGTCTAAAATGACCGAAGACCACCAGTCACCGTGATGTCCTCAAGAAAGACATGTTCCTGTCTAAGAAACAACATTCCCGTCCAAAAATGTAGTCCTAACCCTCACGGGCAGATATAGTGATTTGGGGGCCCCAGAAAAAAAAAAATATAGGAATAGGGCCCTATATTTATCACTCCAGTGCAGTTCCAGTATTCATGTTAAAACAGGTTAAACCAGTATTAAAGTAGGTTGGACACTAGGTGGTGCTTTGGGGTAATTTTCATTGTAATTATAAACTTTAAAACACATTTATTTTTATTTTAACTACAAATTTAAATTAAACTGAAACAATAATGATAAGGAAATTATACATTTACACACTTAAGGATTGTTTCAACCAAAAATTAAGGACAAATGACAGAGGTGTGCAAAGTAACTGCACATGCATCCTCTACTTGGGTCCTCTAATGTTGCTCAGTATTTAGACTCAAATGCATGATATTTTTCATTTGCTGCATGCAAGACACACAAGAAGCGCAGTCAACGAGGATAAACACACATCTCAGACATTTGTTTTTTTGGGGCCCTTTGCCTGATGGTTAAGTCCGCCTCTGCTAACCCTACCCCTACCCATCACTTATCACTAATATCCGAGGGAAATTATAGGATGAACAACACTGATGTAGAAGCACCAAACCCTGGTTATTAGTCTAAACTTGACACAAACTTTAAGCCTGATTGGATGATTGAAATGTTGATCCAGGAACATGTTTTACTTAGTGAAATCACATTGACTGGTGACCAACAGAAGGTTAATAAATCTGTTAAAGCTGCTCACCTTTCTTTTGCACAGGAACTGCAGGATCTTGTCCGGGCTGCTGCGCAGGACATTCTGTTTGCAGAACATAACAGCTGAGACCATGCCATCTTTACAAGACACAAAGCGCTGCTCCAGGTAAAATGACTTGTCGTCCCAGGTGATGATTCGACTGCGCAGCTCAAACGCCTCACCGACACACAATGGGCGTCTGTAGCGGACGGTACTTGCCCCAACAACCATGTTGGCCCCTAGAGCTCTCAATGCCTTAAACACCCCATTCCGGGTGTATAAAGACAAACGGGCAAAGTCACACTCGCGTAGGTAGCGGGCGTTGTTCATATGGCAAAGGTCAACGTCATGGAGAAGGACTCGTCCGCCAGCGGTCTGCTCTCCTGTGATGTCAAATACAGGCGAGAGGAACCAGGCCCTGACCACCACAACCACTGCCCGTATATAATACCACACATCCACACTGCAGAATAGGAGTAGCAACACACCCAGAATCCACAGCAGTGTGTCCTCCCTGCCATAGACACAAGTCAAATTGAGGCAAGAATACACAAGAGACATATTAAGCATGGGCAACTGACATGCAATATATGTGATTAAAACTATTTTAAACAATATTTTTTTTATCTATTTTAGCATTCAAATTACTCTATTTTATTATTACAATTCTATTTTGTTTTATAAAACGGTTAGTTCCAATCCTTGATTCTGATTGGTCAATAGCTGTGCTTTATTCACGACAAAACCATAGATCTTAAAAAATTCAAATCACGACTATGACCGCTTCACCCAACGGTTCTATGTATAACTGCGCAACACTGCAGTTCCTATGTTGTTTTAATTTGAGCTTTCATGCATATTGTCGCATATTGTTCACGGTCAGGGACTATTTTTTTCTAGCGGAAGGAAGGCTTTTAGTGATTTTACTTCATGAAAGTTGCACGAATACATTTTTTTTTTTTACTTCAATATTTTAATTGTGTGGTAACCGTTTTATAAAAGCAATAAGGTGATCGAGGCAAGTGCTGTATCGTGAATAACTCCAGCACAGCCTCGAGTACCTTATTGATTACATAAAAAGTTGCGTGTTATTTGTCAGCATTCCACATTACATTTCTTTCTATGCTGCATGACTGTTTGCACTTTAAACATTCTTCAAAATATCATAATTTGGGTTCAACAGAAAAAAATACATTTATACAGGTTTGGAACAAGGGAGTAAATGATGACAGCATTTTAATTTTTGTGTGAACTTTTCGGATTCTGAGATTTTTTTTTCAAGCCTCATTCAAGTAGAACTAGTTAGGCTGGTTTGTGAACACGTTTTAACGAGATTTCTATCTGCTTTTTAAACGTATTTCCAGACACTAGAGTATGTATTTGTCCTAAAAAATAAATAATATTTCGAGTAATGTTTTTGATTAATGCATCGGTTAGAGAAACTAATTAAAATCCACATTGCCACTTTAATTTAAATCTAACCCTAAAACTTTAACATACGTTAGGTGTTTTGTTACACTACAACTACTTGCCAGAAAACTTGTGCTTTTGTGATAAGTTACCAATATTTTATAATAAGCCATTGCATTACAATTTAGTTAACATCATCCAACAATAAAACATAGCTCTAAGGTGTTTATTAATCTTACCAATCAAAAGTTGTACCTGAGCATGGATTAACAAAGAACAGCTCTATTTTTATAACTAACGTTAACAAAGGTTAATGAATACTGTAACAAATGCTCCTTGCATTTCATGCATTAACTAGGGTTTACTAACGTTATGCTTGTATGAACTAGCCTACTATTCAGCACGTTCACATTATTTACAACATTGAAGGATCAGAGTTGTCATTTGAACAGAGACAGAAACTTTGTGCACCGTGTAAAACTTTGCGATATCGATTACACGTTTACAACGATAAAACTACTCGTTGGAAGTAAATTAACAGTAGTGAAAGTGTCAAACACAGCACTTACATGTCCACGCTGTTACACCAGCTGCGGCGTTACGTTCTTTACGTCTCCAGACTGAACGCACGATGACACGCCCCCTAAATATGACGTAACGTGAAATTGTTCGGAAGGAGTTTGCTTTGGTAGATTGGAAAAGGGCCTGGCTGGAACATATTGTATTTCCAATAAGGCAAAGGAAATACATTTAAAATTGTAAATAAAATATACCCTGCAGTTGTAATAATTTGGATATTTAGACCAAGGCAGAGGAG